TGCATGCCATCCACTGGGTGAAGATCTGAAGCAAGGATTCAGTCATGGGGAACGGGCACACGTGGCAACAGCTACACGATAACGTGAATGGAAGAGAGCTCATCGTGTGTAGGCGCGAGAGAGATGGTACATCGACTGAATCCAAGTGGCAAACGATCCATAGTCCATGGTATGAGATCTCTTGGATGGTCACTAGCGACCACTTTCAGGCAGCAGTCCATTTTCTAGGAATAGAAGCTTGTTGAAGTCGAGGTATCTCAGTTCACTATGGCTAACATTTCAGCACGATGGTCAAGGCGGCTTTGGTGAAGTGTGACAGTGGCTGGTTTCATGCGGAGGCGGTTGCGAATTGTGTGTGTGTGTGTGTGGTAAGAAGAGTGGTTATTGGGAGATGTTGTGTAGCGGTGTTGTTATAATCGTTCTTCTGCCTGAGCGGTCGTCGGTGTCGTCTAGTGGTTAGGACGTGAGCTTAACACGCTCAAGATCGAGGGTTCGATCCCGTCCTCCGATATTTGATTTCTTGCTGGACCATTCATCTGCTCTTTTCTGATTAAATGAGCTCCACTCTGGCCAGATTCGATGGCTACACTGGCGGTCACCACAGCGGGAAATATCGAAACTCTGTGTCCAAGGTAAACAAGGATCACCGTCTTGTTCGCAAGCTGAGATTGATCTGGTATGCGTGAGACACCCATTGGATGGTATGACATTGCCATCTTACGCGGAGGTTTACGTGCGGTACGAGCAACGGTAAAGGCGTGCGGTGGACGAATGTATGTAGCTCGGATGGTGTTCGTGTCATGTACATCGCGACTAATGTGTCAGTCGACAGGTGTTGCTGCGGGGCAACGTGGTGACATATCTCAGCAGTGGACGTTCAAGACAGCTTATCCGAGCGGTTAAAGCGACAGCTCAAAATCTGGTGGGGTAACCCGCGTGGGTTCAAGTCTCACAGCCGTCGATGTCATTGCTAACGACAGTTGCCACACAGCAAACCCCTTCAGACATTGCTTTGGATAGTAGCGCTTTGTTACAACATGAGCGCCTTGACCCTGTCGATGCATCTGTAAGAAAGAGAGCCCATGGAGGCAATGTAATAATGTGGTGTCAGCTCATGATACCATCATTTGTAGGCGACGACAAAACGTTTGAATAGTTCGACCAACTGGTTCAGAGGGCCCAGAACCGCATGTGGAGATTGTTGAAGCCTGTACGCATAACTAAAGCTTGCAGAATTTCAAAATGCGATTTGGGGATGATTGGACTGCGAGGACAGCTCGGCCGAGTGGTTAAGGCGACAGACTAGAAATCTATTGGGGCGACCGCGTGAGTCCAAATCTGGCAGCTGTCGGATACATTTATTCGTGCAGGGTGTTTATACAACACTCACAGACATCTGGCGTCTACGCACGATGCTTTGTCTTGCCTGCCAAGATCACGGTATTGAAGATGGGTGTGTCTTGCTCACAGTCTCATCACTTGAAACCCTTTCCTGATATCCACCTGTATTCGGGCGCTCAATACCCGCACCGATACCCTTGGTTCCAGCCCAGTAATCAGACTGGATGTGCATGCCATCCACTGGGTGAAGATCTGATGTAAGGATTCAGTCATGGGGAACGGGCACACGTGGCAACAGCTACACGATAACGTGAATGGAAGAGAGCTCATCGTGTGTAGGCGCGAGAGAGATGGTACATCGACTGAATCCAAGTGGCAAACGATCCATAGTCCATGGTATGAGATCTCTTGGATGGTCACTAGCGACCACTTTCAGGCAGCAGTCCATTTTCTAGGAATAGAAGCTTGTTGAAGTCGAGGTATCTTAGCTCACTATGGCTAACATTTCGGCACGATGATCAGGGCGGCTTTGGTGAAGTGTGACAGTGGCTGGTTTCATGCGGAGGCGGTTGCGAATTGTGTGTGTGTGCGGTAAGAAGAGAGCGGAAGGCGAGTGGTTATTGGGAAATGTTGTGTAGTGGTGTTGTTATAATCGTTCTTCTGCCTGAGCGGTCGTCGGTGTCGTCTAGTGGTTAGGACGTGAGCTTAACACGCTCAATATCGAGGGTTCGATGCCCTCCTCCGATATTTGATTTCTTGCTGGACCATTCATCTGCTCTTTTCTGATTAAATGAGCTCCACTCTGGCCAGATTCGATGGCTACACTGGCAGTGACCACAGCGGGAAATATCGAAACTCTGTGTCCAAGGTAAACAAGGATCACTGTCTCGTTCGCAAGCTGAGATTGATCTGGTATGCGTGAGACACCCACTGGATGGTATGACATTGCCATCTTACGCGGAGGTTTACGTGCGGTACGAGCAACGGTAAAGGCGTGCGGTGGACGACTGTATGTAGCTCGGATGGGGTTCGTGTCATGTACATCGCGACTAATGTGTCAGTCGACAGGTGTTGCTGCGGGGCAACGTGGTGACATATCTCAGCAGTGGACGTTCAAGACAGCTTATCCGAGCGGCTAAAGCGACAGCTCAAAATCTGGTGGGGTAACCCGCGTGGGTTCAAGTCTCACAGCCGTCGATGTCATTGCTAACGACAGTTGCCACACAGCAAACCCCTTCAGACATTGCTTTGGATAGTAGCGCTTTGTTACAACATGAGCGCCTTGACCCTGTCGATGCATCTGTAAGAAAGAGAGCCCATGGAGGCAATGTAATAATGTGGTGTCAGCTCATGATACCATCATTTGTAGGCGACGACAAAACGTTTGAATAGTTCGACCAACTGGTTCAGAGGGCCCAGAACCGCATGTGGAGATTGTTGAAGCCTGTACGCATAACTAAAGCTTGCAGAATTTCAAAATGCGATTTGGGGATGATTGGACTGCGAGGACAGCTCGGCCGAGTGGTTAAGGCGACAGACTAGAAATCTATTGGGGCGACCGCGTGAGTCCAAATCTGGCAGCTGTCGGATACATTTATTCGTGCAGGGTGTTTATACAACACTCACAGACATCTGGCGTCTACGCACGATGCTTTGTCTTGCCTGCCAAGATCACGGTATTGAAGATGGGTGTGTCTTGCTCACAGTCTCATCACTTGAAACCCTTTCCTGATATCCACCTGTATTCGGGCGCTCAATACCCGCACCGATACCCTTGGTTCCAGCCCAGTAATCAGACTGGATGTGCATGCCATCCACTGGGTGAAGATCTGATGTAAGGATTCAGTCATGGGGAACGGGCACACGTGGCAACAGCTACACGATAACGTGAATGGAAGAGAGCTCATCGTGTGTAGGCGCGAGAGAGATGGTACATCGACTGAATCCAAGTGGCAAACGATCCATAGTCCATGGTATGAGATCTCTTGGATGGTCACTAGCGACCACTTTCAGGCAGCAGTCCATTTTCTAGGAATAGAAGCTTGTTGAAGTCGAGGTATCTCAGTTCACTATGGCTAACATTTCAGCACGATGGTCAAGGCGGCTTTGGTGAAGTGTGACAGTGGCTGGTTTCATGCGGAGGCGGTTGCGAATTGTGTGTGTGTGTGTGTGGTAAGAAGAGTGGTTATTGGGAGATGTTGTGTAGCGGTGTTGTTATAATCGTTCTTCTGCCTGAGCGGTCGTCGGTGTCGTCTAGTGGTTAGGACGTGAGCTTAACACGCTCAAGATCGAGGGTTCGATCCCGTCCTCCGATATTTGATTTCTTGCTGGACCATTCATCTGCTCTTTTCTGATTAAATGAGCTCCACTCTGGCCAGATTCGATGGCTACACTGGCGGTCACCACAGCGGGAAATATCGAAACTCTGTGTCCAAGGTAAACAAGGATCACCGTCTTGTTCGCAAGCTGAGATTGATCTGGTATGCGTGAGACACTCACTGGATGGTATGACATTGCCATCTTACGCGGAGGTTTACGTGCGGTACGAGCAACGGTAAAGGCGTGCGGTGGACGACTGTATGTAGCTCGGATGGGGTTCGTGTCATGTACATCGCGACTAATGTGTCAGTCGACAGGTGTTGCTGCGGGGCAACGTGGTGACATATCTCAGCAGTGGACGTTCAAGACAGCTTATCCGAGCGGCTAAAGCGACAGCTCAAAATCTGGTGGGGTAACCCGCGTGAGTTCAAGTCTCACAGCCGTCGATGTCATTGCTAACGACAGTTGCCACACAGCAAACCCCTTCAGACATTGCTTTGGATAGTAGCGCTTTGTTACAACATGAGCGCCTTGACCCTGTCGATGCATCTGTAAGAAAGAGAGCCCATGGAGGCAATGTAATAATGTGGTGTCAGCTCATGATACCATCATTTGTAGGCGACGACAAAACGTTTGAATAGTTCGACCAACTGGTTCAGAGGGCCCAGAACCGCATGTGGAGATTGTTGAAGCCTGTACGCATAACTAAAGCTTGCAGAATTTCAAAATGCGATTTGGGGATGATTGGACTGCGAGGACAGCTCGGCCGAGTGGTTAAGGCGACAGACTAGAAATCTATTGGGGCGACCGCGTGAGTCCAAATCTGGCAGCTGTCGGATACATTTATTCGTGCAGGGTGTTTATACAACACTCACAGACATCTGGCGTCTACGCACGATGCTTTGTCTTGCCTGCCAAGATCACGGTATTGAAGATGGGTGTGTCTTGCTCACAGTCTCATCACTTGAAACCCTTTCCTGATATCCACCTGTATTCGGGCGCTCAATACCCGCACCGATACCCTTGGTTCCAGCCCAGTAATCAGACTGGATGTGCATGCCATCCACTGGGTGAAGATCTGATGTAAGGATTCAGTCATGGGGAACGGGCACACGTGGCAACAGCTACACGATAACGTGAATGGAAGAGAGCTCATCGTGTGTAGGCGCGAGAGAGATGGTACATCGACTGAATCCAAGTGGCAAACGATCGATAGTCCATGGTATGAGATCTCTTGGATGGTCACTAGCGACCACTTTCAGGCAGCAGTCCATTTTCTAGGAATAGAAGCTTGTTGAAGTCGAGGTATCTCAGTTCACTATGGCTAACATTTCAGCACGATGGTCAAGGCGGCTTTGGTGAAGTGTGACAGTGGCTGGTTTCATGCGGAGGCGGTTGCGAATTGTGTGTGTGTGTGTGTGTGGTAAGAAGAGTGGTTATTGGGAGATGTTGTGTAGCGGTGTTGTTATAATCGTTCTTCTGCCTGAGCGGTCGTCGGTGTCGTCTAGTGGTTAGGACGTGAGCTTAACACGCTCAAGATCGAGGGTTCGATCCCGTCCTCCGATATTTGATTTCTTGCTGGACCATTCATCTGCTCTTTTCTGATTAAATGAGCTCCACTCTGGCCAGATTCGATGGCTACACTGGCGGTGATCACAGCGGGAAATATCGAAACTCTGTGTCCAAGGTAAACAAGGATCACCGTCTTGTTCGCAAGCTGAGATTGATCTGGTATGCGTGAGACACTCACTAGACGGTATGACATTGCCATCTTACGCGGAGGTTTACGTGCGGTACGAGCAACGGTAAAGGCGTGCGGTGGACGACTGTATGTAGCTCGGATGGTGTTCGTGTCATGTACATCGCGACTAATGTGTCAGTCGACAGGTGTTGCTGCGGGGCAACGTGGTGACATATCTCAGCAGTGGATGTTCAAGACAGCTTATCCGAGCGGTTAGAGCGACAGCTCAAAATCTGGTGGGGTAACCCGCGTGGGTTCAAGTCTCACAGCCGTCGATGTCATTGCTAACGACAGTTGCCACACAGCAAACCCCTTCAGACATTGCTTTGGATAGCAGCGCTTTGTTACAACATGAACGCCTTGACCCTGTCGATGCATCTGTAAGAAAGAGAGCCCATGGAGGCAATGTAATAATGTGGTGTCAGCTCATGATACCATCATTTGTAGGCGACGACAAAACGTTTGAATAGTTCGACCAACTGGTTCAGAGGGCCCAGAACCGCATGTGGCAATTGTTGAATCCGGTACGCATAATTAAAGCTTGCAGAATTTCAAAATGCGATTTGGGGATGATTGGACTGCGAGGACAGCTCGGCCGAGTGGTTAAGGCGACAGACTAGAAATCTATTGGGGCGACCCGCGTGAGTCCAAATCTGGCAGCTGTCGGATACATTTATTCGTGCAGGGCGTTTATACACCACTCACAGACATCTGGCGTCTACGCACGATGCTTTGTCTTGCCTGCCAAGATCACGGTATTGAAGATGGGTGTGTCTTGCTCACAGTCTCATCACTTGAAGCCCTTTCCTGATATCCATCCACCTGTATTCGGGCGCTCAATACCCGCACCGATACCCTTGGTTCCAGCCCAGTAATCAGACTGGATGTGCATGCCATCCACTGGGTGAAGATCTGAAGCAAGGATTCAGTCATGGGGAACGGGCACACGTGGCAACAGCTACACGATAACGTGAATGGAAGAGAGCTCATCGTGTGTAGGCGCGAGAGAGATGGTACATCGACTGAATCCAAGTGGCAAACGATCGATAGTCCATGGTATGAGATCTCTTGGATGGTCACTAGCGACCACTTTCAGGCAGCAGTCCATTTTCTAGGAATAGAAGCTTGTTGAAGTCGAGGTATCTTAGCTCACTATGGCTAACATTTCAGCACGATGATCAGGGCGGCTTTGGTGAAGTGTGACAGTGGCTGGTTTCATGCGGAGGCGGTTGCGAATTGTGTGTGTGTGTGTGTGTGTGGTAAGAAGAGTGGTTATTGGAAATGTTGTGTAGCGGTGTTGTTATAATCGTTCTTCTGCCTGAGCGGTCGTCGGTGTCGTCTAGTGGTTAGGACGTGAGCTTAACACGCTCAAGATCGAGGGTTCGATCCCGTCCTCCGATATTTGATTTCTTGCTGGACCATTCATCTGCTCTTTTCTGATTAAATGAGCTCCACTCTGGCCAGATTCGATGGCTACACTGGCGGTCACCACAGCGGGAAATATCGAAACTCTGTGTCCAAGGTAAACAAGGATCACCGTCTTGTTCGCAAGCTGAGATTAATCTGGTATGCGTGAGACACCCACTGGATGGTATGACATTGCCATCTTACGCGGAGGTTTACGTGCGGTACGAGCAACGGTAAAGGCGTGCGGTGGACGACTGTATGTAGCTCGGATGGTGTTCGTGTCATGTACATCGCGACTAATGTGTCAGTCGACAGGTGTTGCTGCGGGGCAACGTGGTGACATATCTCAGCAGTGGACGTTCAAGACAGCTTATCCGAGCGGTTAGGCGACAGCTCAAAATCTGGTGGGGTAACCCGCGTGGGTTTAAGTCTCACAGCCGTCGATGTCATTGCCAACGACAGTTGCCACACAGCAAACCCCTTCGGACATTGCTTTGGATAGGAGCGCTTTGTTACAACATGAACGCCTTGACCCCGTCGATGCATCTGTAAGAAAGAGAGCCCATGGAGGCAATGTAATAATGTGGTGTCAGCTCATGATACCATCATTTGTAGGCGACGACAAAACGTTTGAATAGTTCGACCAACTGGTTCAGAGGGCCCAGAACCGCATGTGGCGATTGTTGAAGCCTGTACGCATAATTAAAGCTTGCAGAATTTCAAAATGCGATTTGGGGATGATTGGACTGCGAGGACAGCTCGGCCGAGTGGTTAAGGCGACAGACTAGAAATCTATTGGGGCGACCCGCGTGAGTCCAAATCTGGCAGCTGTCGGATACATTTATTCGTGCAGGGCGTTTATACACCACTCACAGACATCTGGCGTCTACGCACGATGCTTTGTCTTGCCTGCCAAGATCACGGTATTGAAGATGGGTGTGTCTTGCTCACAGTCTCATCACTTGAAACCCTTTCCTGATATCCACCTGTATTCGGGCGCTCAATACCCGCACCGATACCCTTGGTTCCAGCCCAGTAATCAGACTGGATGTGCATGCCATCCACTGGGTGAAGATCTGAAGCAAGGATTCAGTCATGGGGAACGGGCACACGTGGCAACAGCTACACGATAACGTGAATGGAAGAGAGCTCATCGTGTGTAGGCGCGAGAGAGATGGTACATCGACTGAATCCAAGTGGCAAACGATCGATAGTCCATGGTATGAGATCTCTTGGATGGTCACTAGCGACCACTTTCAGGCAGCAGTCCATTTTCTAGGAATAGAAGCTTGTTGAAGTCGAGGTATCTTAGCTCACTATGGCTAACATTTCAGCACGATGATCAGGGCGGCTTTGGTGAAGTGTGACAGTGGCTGGTTTCATGCGGAGGCGGTTGCGAATTGTGTGTGTGTGTGTGTGGTAAGAAGAGTGGTTATTGGGAAATGTTGTGTAGCGGTGTTGTTATAATCGTTCTTCTGCCTGTGCGGTCGTCGGTGTCGTCTAGTGGTTAGGACGTGAGCTTAACACGCTCAAGATCGAGGGTTCGATCCCGTCCTCCGATATTTGATTTCTTGCTGGACCATTCATCTGCTCTTTTCTGATTAAATGAGCTCCACTCTGGCCAGATTCGATGGCTACACTGGCGGTCACCACAGCGGGAAATATCGAAACTCTGTGTCCAAGGTAAACAAGGATCACCGTCTTGTTCGCAAGCTGAGATTAATCTGGTATGCGTGAGACACCCACTGGATGGTATGACATTGCCATCTTACGCGGAGGTTTACGTGCGGTACGAGCAACGGTAAAGGCGTGCGGTGGACGACTGTATGTAGCTCGGATGGTGTTCGTGTCATGTACATCGCGACTAATGTGTCAGTCGACAGGTGTTGCTGCGGGGCAACGTGGTGACATATCTCAGCACTGGACGTTCAAGACAGCTTATCCGAGCGGTTGAAGCGACAGCTCAAAATCTGGTGGGGTAACCCGCGTGGGTTCAAGTCTCACAGCCGTCGATGTCATTGCCAACGACAGTTGCCACACAGCAAACCCCTTCGGACATTGCTTTGGATAGGAGCGCTTTGTTACAACATGAACGCCTTGACCCTGTCGATGCATCTGTAAGAAAGAGAGCCCATGGAGGCAATGTAATAATGTGGTGTCAGCTCATGATACCATCATTTGTAGGCGACGACAAAACGTTTGAATAGTTCGACCAACTGGTTCAGAGGGCCCAGAACCGCATGTGGCGATTGTTGAAGCCTGTACGCATAATTAAAGCTTGCAGAATTTCAAAATGCGATTTGGGGATGATTGGACTGCGAGGACAGCTCGGCCGAGTGGTTAAGGCGACAGACTAGAAATCTATTGGGGCGACCCGCGTGAGTCCAAATCTGGCAGCTGTCGGATACATTTATTCGTGCAGGGCGTTTATACACCACTCACAGACATCTGGCGTCTACGCACGATGCTTTGTCTTGCCTGCCAAGATCACGGTATTGAAGATGGGTGTGTCTTGCTCACAGTCTCATCACTTGAAACCCTTTCCTGATATCCATCCACCTGTATTCGGGCGCTCAATACCCGCACCGATACCCTTGGTTCCAGCCCAGTAATCAGACTGGATGTGCATGCCATCCACTGGGTGAAGATCTGAAGCAAGGATTCAGTCATGGGGAACGGGCACACGTGGCAACAGCTACACGATAACGTGAATGGAAGAGAGCTCATCGTGTGTAGGCGCGAGAGAGATGGTACATCGACTGAATCCAAGTGGCAAACGATCGATAGTCCATGGTATGAGATCTCTTGGATGGTCACTAGCGACCACTTTCAGGCAGCAGTCCATTTTCTAGGAATAGAAGCTTGTTGAAGTCGAGGTATCTTAGCTCACTATGGCTAACATTTCAGCACGATGATCAGGGCGGCTTTGGTGAAGTGTGACAGTGGCTGGTTTCATGCGGAGGCGGTTGCGAATTGTGTGTGTGTGTGTGTGGTAAGAAGAGTGGTTATTGGGAAATGTTGTGTAGCGGTGTTGTTATAATCGTTCTTCTGCCTGTGCGGTCGTCGGTGTCGTCTAGTGGTTAGGACGTGAGCTTAACACGCTCAAGATCGAGGGTTCGATCCCGTCCTCCGATATTTGATTTCTTGCTGGACCATTCATCTGCTCTTTTCTGATTAAATGAGCTCCACTCTGGCCAGATTCGATGGCTACACTGGCGGTCACCACAGCGGGAAATATCGAAACTCTGTGTCCAAGGTAAACAAGGATCACCGTCTTGTTCGCAAGCTGAGATTAATCTGGTATGCGTGAGACACCCACTGGATGGTATGACATTGCCATCTTACGCGGAGGTTTACGTGCGGTACGAGCAACGGTAAAGGCGTGCGGTGGACGACTGTATGTAGCTCGGATGGTGTTCGTGT